CTCTGGATTATCCATGGTGCACCATTCTAATAGGTCCTTCACACCTGTAGAAAGAAGGAGCCACTATCAGACTACACCTAGTCAGGAAATTGCCACACTATGACAATCACTATCCCGCTGTCCTGTGGCAAAGACCAGGATCAGAGTGGAACCTGCCACATGAACAGGGCTAATGAACAGCCCAATAGAGAGAATGCTGGGATTGGGGACCTATGTTTAAACCCTGCTCATGGCCAGCATATAGGTTAGCATAGCTCGGCATCTTCCAAGGGTCCACATGCCAACAGGGGACCCACCGACAAAAACCACCTCGACCTGATGCAATGAGGGGTAATCTCACTGAGGAAAAGGGGCTCTCTAAAACCTAGAGCCAGCATTGCCCCAGCTCATCCATGAAATGTACCAGGATGGCCTTGGACAATACACAGTGTCATAATCTTTCACCTACCTCAAAGATATGTTAAAAAAAATAACAGTGGGATAACTCCATGTATGCTGTCCTGAACTGCTAGGAACTTTACACTGTATAGCACATACATACCAGTGGCATAACATAAAAAGGAAAGAAAATGAGATCTACACACAATAAACTTGCTCAGGGACTGGAACGAACTTCACTTATGACGTGTCTTTTATTGAATGAGTTGCCATGCATCCATCATTCAAGTCAACATATTTGCAAGAGTTATCGTGCCTTGAGATCATAGTGTGAGTGCTATAACCACTGTCAAAGAACAGCTAAATTGGGGGGAGGGGGGAATATAACCACCCTAGGGATCCACTGCATTCCGTTTGTTCACAAAAGACATCATCTATTCTGGCTCCTATACCTTTTTCTGGTCAATCACACCGTTAACATTAGATCCCAGGGAAGACAATGATCTGTACTCACTTTCAAGTTGATGAAAGCTCCCTTTCCTGATGGCATGGTGTGCTCTCTAACAAAAACTGTCAAGTTACATCCGGTTGGCCAAGAGGGCTCCAATTTCAGCTTGGCCCTTCCCAGCTGGCACATTCACTATAGCCCTTGCAAGCCTTGCCTACTCGAGGGTAACTCCTGTTCAAAGCAGCAGCAGTGAGGAATATGTTGTATGCAGGGCCTACAGTAGATTCGCCAGCTTGCCCGAGGCTGGAACCAATTATTCATGAGTAAGCAACTCACGAGTAAACCTGCTCCTAGGTGGTCTGCTGCTGGGTCCTTGCAGTTTCAAGCTGCAAACTGGCAAGGGGCTGGGGGAAGATATGAACAGGAACACAGAGGAATTGCTTGCCCTGCTTTCCAGAAAGCAACAGGAAAAGCTTATTCTACATGCAAAAGCCAAGCACAGGGCAGAACATTATTTATTAACAGTGTGCAGAATTGCACATATAGTAAAGGAGGGTTTTTTAAAAAAAATAAAATGTATTTCTTTTGACAGTATTTTTAACAGAGATAAATACAAGGCAATCTAATCGCTGCAATATTGCTACCGTTTAAGAATAAAATCAATGGGCATAGTTTTACGGAGAAATCTTAGGGTACAGGCTTCCTTTGCTAAATATTAAGTCCGGGAGCTGCTCTATTATTGACTATTTTCACTCAATGAGGTAGAGAAGGAGAAAAAATCCAAAACCCTCATGCCTAGAGCTCTGAGAAAAATTGAAAATGAAAAAGGCAATGTAAATTGCTGGAGAAAGAGGCCTGACTGGTCCATTGTGCCTTCTGGGTTCCTCGCCTCCATGTTCCTCACAGATCCCCTTTTCAGGTTCACAATTTAGAATGCTAATTCTTCAGTTTCCCCCTTTAGGGCCAACTGACTGGCTGTCAAACTGCAGCTTTTTAGCTGCCTGACAAGTGAGTTCCTAACGGCTGCAAGAAAAGTCACAAGATTACACACACACACCATTATTTTGTGTGGGTACACGTTTGTTTTGCTCAACTCTCTTTCACCCCAGCTAAACAGCTTATGATGGGCTGCCTGAGGTTAAGTCCAGCAAAACAATCCTAACGAGCTGTTTATTTTATTTTACTTTTTTGCACCTAGCTTTCCATGTTGATTTTTTTTTTACAACAAATAACTTAATGCTCAAAACTCTTAATTTTGAGTTGCCAGGACAAGAGAGAGAAGCCTCCCTTTCTAAGCCATTAAAATAAATTGGATTGCATTTCCATCAGGATGCTTGTTTGCAGTTTAGCCTGGAACAGAGATTAAAGGTATCTTTATAAGTGTCAGCCCCCTCCCCCCCGGCCCCCCAAAAGACAGCATGTCTGCAACCACATTCTTAAATAAAGGAAAAACAGCACAGTAAAATGGTAATAAAGTTCAAACTTATTTTGATGTTAAGGAAGCTTTGAGAGTTTTTTTGAGGGGAACTACTTCAAAATAAAATGGTCGAACAAGTATTTCCCCCCTTCAACATCATTAAAATCGCCACTCAGTTCTTCTTAGGGTGTAGAATTATGCAGCTTTCTTAAGGACTTCAATTGAGATCAAGCTTTCTGTACTGCAGCTTCTTCATAATTACAATCAGCAAGCAAACACAGAGCAAAAATAAGGAAAAATCCAATATCCTGCTTCCGAAAACAGGTGTCCAACAGGTTGCAGTGGCTGGGTTGTTAGTTGGCCTGTTTACAACCAGCAATTAACAGATCAACAACAATGAGGCTGAGATGTAGCTCTCCAGATGTTGTGAACTCCAACTCCCATCAACCCTAGCAATAGTCATGGATGACGGCAGTTGTAGTCCAGAAAGTATCTGGGGGGGGTCACAGGTTCCCCCATCCCTGAAATGCGGAATCTGTTTTTGTTCATACTGCATGCAGTGCACAACACAATGCCTTTAAGCAGCAGGAATAGTGAGAATAGCTTTAATTTACCATGCTTATTGCATAAATACAGCTGGGTAGCACACAAGACTCTTAGAAATATAGACTGATCAGTCACTGAAAGCCACGTTTATCACACCCTTTGAAGAGTCTACCGCAAATGAACTCCTCATCACATGGTAAAACAATATTTGCAGACTGAATCAATTCAGACTGCAGGTGCAAGACTGTATTGCTGAATATTCCACCATAAAATGCCTCTCCTTGCACACAGAAATATAGAGCTTCAAGGAGAATGCTGGCATACGACCTTATTTCCAGTATCTAGTGTGCCACCTTGGCCCAGAAACATCATAGATTTTATTTTTTTCCAATATTTTTCCTAGGGCTGAAAACCAAATTACAGAAACCTGGGTAAATCAACAGAGTTTTAATTAAGCACATTTGCATACAATAAAAATAACATGCTACTTTTTGGATGACACAACAGCAGTCGTTTTCCCCTTCGGTCTTTTCACAGCAAGAAATGCCTCTTCTAAGATGCTGCTGGCCATTTTTACAAGTTAACAAAAAATGTGTTGCTCGATTACCTGGGGATTGCCCTATAGTAAATTAATCTAACAAATCAAGTTACAGGCTTTTTACTCACTAGAGCAAGTCTACGGAGTCTCTTTGGAAGTGTCTTGAATTGCAATATAAGGCAAACCTAATAAGATCTAGTAAGATAAACAAGCGGGAGAACATTTCAGCCTTCCTAGAACACACTGTAACTGACCTTAAGGTGGCCATTCTGGAAGAAAGTAACTTCAAAGGAAGACTACAACGTGAAACAGCTGAATAATAGCTCACCAAGAAGTTCAGTGCCATCACTTGTAGGTCAAAGCAGGGCAAAGGACTTTTAATCACACTGTGTGCATTAATTAGCCGGCTAGGGTATTTATGCATTTGTTATTTTCTTGTGAATGGTTCCCTGCTGCCATACAGGTGTTCACACAGCTATTGCAGCAATTATCACCAATGTGCTGTTCTAAAAGAAAAAAAATCCTTCCAGTAGCACCTTAAAGACCAACTAAGTTAGTTCTTGGTATGAGCTTTCGTGTGCATGCACACTTCTTCAGATACCTGAAGAATCTGAAGAAGTGTGCATGCACACGAAAGCTCATACCAAGAACTAACTTAGTTGGTCTTTAAGGTGCTACTGGAAGGATTTTTTTTGTTTTGACTATGGCAGACCAACACGGCTACCTATCTGTAACTGTTCTAAAAGGTTACCTACAGTAGACCTGCAACTTAAGTGGGGTTACGTTCCAGGGATAGTGCATAAAGCCAAAACTGTGGCTAGTCAAAACACACTGGGTGCAATGGGGGGTGGGCTTGCCAATTCCTGCCCCCCCCCGATGGCCACCAGCTTTTTATTTTAATTTTTAATTTTTGCCAAGCACGTAAAGCTGAATGTGCATGAGTTACCGTAAATGTGTGTAAGTTACGGGTCAACTGTATATGCTAAACAGGAACACCTCTAAGCTCTATCACTTTATTGACTGCATTTTTTAATTTTAATTTTTTGCAATTCATTGCCATTCAGCTTCCATACCGTACAATTTTCTCCTGCTTGGTCTTAAGCCAACCTTCACCAACATGGTACCTGGTCTGGAAGCCATCAGGCTAGCAAAGGCTACTTTAAGGTGTAACGGGACTTTTTGCTTTTGCTAATAGGATCTGGGTATTTTAGTTCTTCTTATGATCCTTTATACACCCAAATACTTGTTATAGAGGCACTGGCAGAAACAGAAGTGCCTTCTTTGCCTAGTGATGAACATTTCAATGAGACAGTTCAAGAAAATGCCAAACCACGGTTTCTCATGATGTGTGAACCAGCCTTATCTGCAGTTCTGTTTTTCTGGAAAAAGAGGTGCCATACCTCACTATGAACACCTCCCTTGTTCTCTTATAATGGCAATGGCATCCACCTGAAAAAAGCCCTGCTTATCTGACTGGTGGCGCTTACGGGTGGCCACTGAACTAGGATGCGAAAATATGGTTGTGACTAGTTGCAGACCATAGTTCAATGTGTGTGCTATTGCTAGACAAGATGGCAACACTTCCTTCCAAGCAAGGTGACAGTACATTCAACATTGGGGTTGGAGGAGATTTAGCTTTAAATTGATCCAACAATTTGTTATGTGATACTTACTTTTTCATTCCATGCCCAAAGTCCAATTCCAAGAAATGCTATGCCCAGAAACTGAAAAGGGAAATATATATATACATAAGTAAGAGCATTTCAAGAGGTTGCTTTGAATTATGACTTGACCACATCAGTTGGCCATATTTGGAGTACATTACTGAAGCATCACTCTATATTACATTTCTGCATAGCTCCAAATTTGAAAATCAACCCTGCCTCCAGCCAGACGTATGAAAGATTTGATTGAAAACTTGTGGGCTATTTGGGCAGAAATCAGCAGCATAAAAAATCCAAAAACGGTTTCTAAATGGACAGATTATTTAAGATTAGATTAAAAACCCTGCTCAGCCTTGAAAAAGTAACAATGATTTCTTTTTTACTGCTATTTTTCAACATCCAGATCAAAGAATGATAGTCTTGGGCAGAATAGCTCCTGGAAATGGGAAAACATCAATGCAAACTTATTGAAAACTGGAGATTTGGGAGCTAGCAAATCAAGCTCACCTTGATAAACAGATAAAATTAATGATGTGTTGAGTTGCAAGAGTTTACCCATTTGCCGTAGCTCCATCCACAGTAGTTCACAAACAACTGTGTGGTTGTGTTGTAGCTCAGCGATACACTACATCAGGGGCCAGCAAACTTTTTCAGCAGGGGGCCAGTCCACTGTCCCTCAGACCTTGTGGGGGGCCAGGCTCTTTTTTGAATTTTAAAAATGAACTAATTCCTATGCCCCACAAATAACCCAGAGATGCATTTTAAATAAAATCACACATTACACTCATGTAAAAAGACGCTGATTCCCAGACCGTCCGTGAGCCAGATTTAGAAGGCGACTGGGCCAGATCCAGCCCCCAGGCCTTAGTTTGCCTACCCATGCACTACACATTTTGCATGTAGAACCTCCAATATCCACCCTCTGATGTCTAAAGACCCCTGCCTGAAACCCGCCATCAGGCAGCGTCAACAGTGCTGAGATAGATGGACTAATGATCTGACTTAATGCAAGGCAGCTTCCTCTGCCTCAAAAATTTTGTTTTATCACCAAAAGCAAAGCTGCCATTTACCTTAGTGGCAACCTTCAAAGCCCTATTTGCTCTTGGAGAAATTTAGCATCATCATCATCATCATTCTATTTGTATGCCGCCTTTCCACAGTTAAAACAATGCTCAAGGCGGCTTACAATATGAAAAAATTTACGTAGTTACAAACACTCCCAACAAAATTTTTCCCAAAATGCCCCCATCCTTGCTGGGCAGCAGCAGCAGCAGTCCTTATGAGGCCTGTGAGGCCCCACCCCAGGCCAGGTGGGGAGAAGGCGGCTCCCAGCAGGTCATGATCCTAAGGGCATGACTGCAACCCATTCCAAAGTTACGTTACTGTGTGAGCTGGTTCATTGTTGTGGCAACAATTTATTCTGCTCAGAAAACGTCAGGGCTCCCTTCCCACCCCAAAACAAAACATTTTACCAAAACCTAGGGTCGTTCCTAGAAATTTATTGAATTAGTAACAACATAGCCTCATCAGTTTTATAAAATCAAGCCACTTCGAGAGCAACCCAAATCTGAGTTACACTCAGAATATTTGTAGACAATTTGTGACACACACACACACACACACACACACACACACACACACACGGTTCTGCTTTCCATGTAGCTCTCCTCGAACCATTTGGCCCAGGTAGGATCCTGAAAGCTTGCCAAATCGCAGGGTTATGAACTTTTCCAGGAGCCTTGCCAAAGGCTCTTGTTTCCGCACAGCACTTAAGCTGTGTCTTCAAACTCTGAGGTAATGTTTAGTATATATTTCATTTTAGTTACTATATCCATTAACAAACTACATTTCCACAAGGCCAACATTGAGTGTATTGTTTCAGAGTTCAGCAATGGCCAAAAATGCATGAAAATTAATATATACAGATACAGATGTCACTAGAAACAGAAGCTGCTCTTTAAAATGAGCAACTGATACCCTCCGCACTTATGCTTTTTTTCTAGACCTGTTCATGACCAAATTCCCCGTGGTTTGAAAAGCAGGATGGCAAAGAACAATAAAAAAATGGATTCACAGAGACTTCATCAGCACCAAGCATGAGGAAGGCCAAACACTAGGTCCGTCTGTGGCCTAGGAAATGACAAGCCTGGTTCAAATTCCATGATGCTAGCTGCCAAAGTATGGGTTGAAAGTAGGATTGTGGTTTCTAATTAAAAAAAACCTACAGAAGAACTCCCATGCTTCTCTACCTGGGACACGCAGACTACTGGTTAATCTAGCTCCGTACCACCTGCTGCACCAACATGGTTTCAGAAATTCAAAAGTTTACTCGAATGGAGATGCAATTATGAGAAAAGCTCCACCATGATTGTACTCTCTCTTGTGTTATATCACATCCCCATGGCAGCCATCTTGTGACCAATGCTTCCAGCCCTCTCTCCAAAATGTGTCCCCTGGTCTGAAAACACTGGCAACCACTATGTGGCTGCACTGGTTCAGGAAAGAGGGGGAAGGAGCCCAAAGGAGGCAAGTGCATGAACTTATAAAGGCACTCCAACTGGGTCACACTTTTGATTCTATACCATGATTATAGCTTCTGAAAACATAAAACAGGTAAGTAAAACTGCTTGTCTACCTCATTTTTCCAATTCCAGCTTGCCTGCTGATCGCAAGCAATGGGTTAGAATGATGTAAGAAACTGGAGTGACATCAAATCTCCAAAGTCCACACAAGTAGTTCTGCAAACTACTTCTCCCAGTTGGTGCACAGCAGGATGTGGGAAGAGAACACAGGAACAGAATAGAGAAGGCTTCCAAACTATAGCTGGACCTGCTCTCACGCAACACAAAACAGTTTGACACAGCATGATTATTAGTAAAGGGAGTGAACCCAAGATACTGCAACATGGATCAGATGAGCTATGAAGTCCCAAAGGTTCAGCAACTCTTCCTCTTTCTCTTCACAGGTCCAACACATACGTAAATCAAAGCCAGGTTTCTTGCCAGAAGATCTGCCCTGTTTAGGGAAGCTTTTAATGTTTGATGCATTACGGTATTTTAATATTTTGTTGGAAGCTGCCCAGAGTGGCTGGAGAAGCCCGGCCAGATGGGTGGGGTATAAATAATAAATAATAAATTATTATTACAGTGGTACCTCAGGTTAAGTACTTAATTCATTCCAGAGGTCCGTTCTTAACCTGAAACTGTTCTTAACCTGAAGCGCCATTTTAGCTAATGGGGTCTCCTGCTGCTGCCGCTCCACCAGAGCCCAATTTCTGTTCTTATCCTGAAGCAAAGTTCTTAATCTGAAGCACTATTTCTGGGTTAGTGGAGTGTGTAACCTAAAGCGTATGTAACCTGAGGTACCACTCTATTATTATTATTATTATTATTATTATTATTATTAATATTTTCTTCTAATAAAGGATTCTCTCCAATAGAGTTATTCATGGGAGTATGTACTGGTTTGGACAAGAGGCTAAACTAAGATGCTAAGGCTTCCAGAGAGGAGCTTACAGCTGCTTTGCTGCTGCCTGGTTTGAATCAGCATGTTGTTCAAACTGAGATTTGTAGTTAAGCTCTCTCCTCACTAACCACAATCTGTAGTCAGGCTTTGTTATTGGTTACAACTGGTGCTTAGGAAAGAGCTTAAACATTAGTCCTAGTTCAGATGACACACTAAGCCAAACCTTGGCTGAGTTTGACTGTTTAAAGTGGCATGGTACTGCTTTAAATGTAGAGCACAGTCTCACTAAACCAAGGTTTGGCTTAGCACGTCATTCCAACCACATCTATAACTATAATCCTTAATACCCTTAGTCCTAGTTAAACCAGTAAGACTGACTTTTGAAGAAACTGGATGAGGATTGTGCTGCATGACTAACTGGGACATTGCTCACCAACCACAGTATTCACACCCATCGGGATTAAAATAAGATACTCCCTCAGAGGTCAACACAATAACTCACGTTGGTGATGCTTCCAAAGTTGGAGGAGCTGGGATGACTTGATGGGCAGGTGAGCAAACACTAAACACAAATAGGATATTCTGCTGTGGAGGTATGGAGCCGAATGTGGTTCTCCAGACCTCACTGTAGGGCTGGCCACAACTCTCAATTGCCCTGCTTCACACCACATGTTTTTGATTGGTTGGAATAAGTCACTGAACTCCGATAATGTCTCTTGCTTCCCAAGATGGAGGGCAGCGTGTGAAGACTATTAGAGCAGGTCACCACCCATCACACTTTTGCTGCACAGATACTTGTGTGATGAGACCTCAGTAAACTGCATTCAACTAATTTAGCAGAGTTTTCGTTCTCTCTCTCTCAGAAGCAGTGGACAATAACAGACGTTGTTTTAAAGATGACTCACAAACTCTGTGAAGTCTCGGTCAAGAGATTTTATTCCCTGTCCAGGTACAAGCATTACAGTAGCAAAGGTATTTTTCAACTGTTAAAATGAACAGCAATTAACATCACACTATCAAAGTCTCTCTTATCTCCCCCATGTTGTAAATTACAGGAACAGTCCTGCAGCAGATTTTACAGGCAGTACCCTTCGGACAGAAGTCTGCAAAAACGAAGCAGAGTGGTCTTCTTATTGACACTTCCAGCTGATGCTAATTAAGCTCAGAGTGCCACTCCCATATATAAAGGAAAACTCTGGAACCTTCCAGAAACTTCTACTTGTTTCTGGCAGAATGATTCCCTAACAAACACAGGTGTGTAGAAACTAGCCTAATATCCAAAGGTGAAATTGAACATTCTTGCCCAATTTGCCTCTGGCCCATTTCGCCTCTTGCCAGTGGGCCCTTTTTACATTTGCCCAGAAGAGAAAGCACCCCTCAGGCTGAACAAGATGCTGACCCAGGGAGTAAATGATAACCAGTGCATGGCAGGCTTAACTTCAGGAATATGTGGCACCTATTGTTTGAAAGCACTGAGGATAGTGCAAAATTGCATTAAAAAGAGCCAAGATATTGTTCAACTGTGAAAATCTCTAGTAATCATAGCTAAGTTTTGTAAGGTTTTTATAAATCCTTGTGGTTCATGCTGTGCCTTT